GTATACGTAAATATAAGTATATTTATATATATATGCGTGTGTGTGTATGTATATATATATATATATATATGTATATATATAAATATGTGTGTGTGTGTGTGGTGGGTGGGTGGGTGGGTGGTGTGTGGGTGGTGGTGGTGTGTGTGTGTATATGTATATATATATATGTGTGTGTGTGTATGTATGTATGTATATATATATATATATCATACATTTAAATTTTAAATGTGTGTCTAAACGTGTGAGTGTGTGTGTATATATGTGTGTGAGTATTATGTGTGTGTGTATTTATGTGTGTGTGTATATATGTGCGTGTATATATATATATATGCGTATGTTATGTATGTGTGTGTGTGTGTGTGTCGATATATGTGTGTGTGTGCGTCTGTATCTATCTATATATATATTATGTATATCTATATATATTCTATATATATATATGCCTCTGTGTGTGTGTGTGTGTGTGTGTGTATCTATATATGTGTGTGTATCTATGTGTTAGTGTGTGTGTATGTATTAGATAAACGGCTATGTGGTACACAGAAGTGAACAAACTAATTTAGTCATAAAAATTCATGCAAGATATAATACTAGTGCCTGGTTAGAATATCATATCTGAAGCACATTCCTCCGTCGATACTATACAATAAATAACAATTTCCGTGATCTTTTTCAAACACAATATACGATTCCAGCAGTCCCATTATATATACGTACGACATAAAAATAACTATAGTGCTACTGACAGAAGTTTGCAATTAAAGATAACTTCGCATATGCTTTTAATGCAACCTCCGCGGCAAAATCAAATTGACATTCGATACTGGTCCCGATTTGTGTAAATACACCATTGATCACATCTGATTTAAACTTGTGGCTTCGTTTAGAAAGATACTAGCAGACTTATTCCTTCCATATCCTGGACGATACTGTATACTACTTCACATGCCCAACATAGCCTATCAATATTCCTGGGATGTTAATAACATATAAACCAAGCGCAAACTCAGCAACAAAAGCGATACTCTGCCAACATGGCTTACTTTAATATCATTGAACCGTTCTTTCCATTTCCTCCTTTGAAATAGCCCAGACTCCATATTCACAACTCTGCGCTAAGAAACGTTTATCAAAATGCATTATATCTTATAAATACATATGATAAAGGTCCAAGTCTCTTCCACATGATCAACGAATATGTTTCTTTTGCTCAAATACACAACACCTAATTATAAATATGCACACATCTGTAAAAATACACCGAGGGGTTTTTTTTCAAAAACAGATTCTTCAATGATTTTTTTTTAATCACCTCAATACGTTTTTCTTCAAAAGTCAGAAACTGTTTGAATAATTTTAAATTCATGTCAAACGTATATATTCTAACGGCCCAATTGTTGACACTGCGGGTGTATGATTGGAGCCACGAGGTCCTCAGTGTCGATATCTGTTTCACAAAGTGACCGTTAATTTCATATACTAGGTAGATTGTTTTTCAGTCATTCTGCCCATAAAAACGTTTTATGTATATAGATGTATACACTATGTGAAGAGTCATATCTGGGCCTGGGCGCCTGGCCCATGGCCCCAAAACCCAAGCCCCAGCCCCCAGGGGCCCAGGAGGCCAGGACCTTCCTCAGTTTTTATAAATACTCTCTGAGATACTCACTTGGTCACTATTTTTAAAAATATCTATAAATACGAGAGAGAGAGAGGAGATACTCACTTGGTCACTAATTTTTAAAAAATATCTCTAAATACTCGACTCTCTATCTACTACTCTCTACTATTCTCTCTCTCTACTAGAGTATAGAGAGAGCGAGAGAGAGAGAGCGAGAGAGAGAGAGAGAGACTGAGTCACTGCGTCTGAGAGACTTAGACGGTTTCGGTGTGCTCCTTTGTTTTAGGGTTTATTTTGAGCCCAAAATATATGAGGTCGGGGGGAGGGAATAACAAACTACAATATCTACTTTGAACCCTAGAGTTTTGCCCTAGAGTTGTTTGTGGAATTTACATTTTCAAACCCTAAGATTGTTGTAATTGAAAAAATATTGTTTGATATTTTACCGAGTGTTTGGGATTGTAAATAGTATAGGTCTAGAGAGCTCGATTATTCTTCAAATTGTTTACGACATCAATTAATAGGGGGCCAATATGTATTATATTGGGTCAAAATGTGCCTATATGTGTACAAAATATATTATTCCAGTTCGACATACACGATATAGTGGGCCAATATGTATTATATTGGGTCAAAATGTGCCTATATGTGTACAAAATATAGAAGTACAAAATGCACCAAAAATCCAAAAGTCCAAAACAAAGTAGTCTGAACCGCCTTTAAAAAAAAAGAAGAGAGAGACCGAGACCGAGCGAGGAGTCAGAGGACACTCTCTAGTAGTCCACTAAATACTACTCTCTACTACTAGAGTTTACTACTACTCTACTCCATCTCTACTAGAGAGAGAGAGAGAGGCCAGAAATTGCAGATATTTTTATTCATTCTGTGAAGCAACGTTATTGCTTGACTCCATGAGTCATGAGTCATCATGTGTTTGACAATGAGTCATTATTGATATTGTTGAATGCCAAAAGTTGATTGGCCATCCATGACTCGTAAATCCAAAAAAGGATTTAATAATTTAGTTTTTTAGGAAGAATGAATACCTTCCCTACCGCCACCGGTCAGCAGCGGGCAGCCGGTGACTCTGTGAGCCTGACACCGATGCTGCTTATTTACTCATACTGCTGCTAAATGTTAAAATACGCCACTGAACTCTGAACTTCTGAACTTCTGAAGTCTGAAGTCAGAAGTAAGACCTCACATGACTCATGAGTCACTCAAGAGTCAAGCATCTGACTGTCTGAGTCTCTGAGACTCCTATAATATCTATTTAAAGTTATAAACTATATAGAATATAGTCCAAAAAAAGTACAGGACTGCTGGTCTGCAGCGGTGCAGTCATGTAAGTTTGTAACTCGTGACTTTGTGAGTAAATATTTACTTGATTCCATGAACGGAATGTATTTTGTTTTGTGGTTTTTGTTATTGTTTTTACCTTTTAGGGTTTACAAAACTGCCTCCTTCTTGTTCAAGCGAAATAGGACATACAGCAAAGGCCAGATGGTTTATCCTATATGTATGTCTCACAGTTCGTATGGCCCAGTCCCCCGACAGCCCCTGGGTCTAAGAAATCGGGGTCCAGGTTTGTGCTCGGGTATATTAAATAAAAAGGTCAAAAACAGGTGATGAGTCATAGCTCAGTCGGCACTCCAATTAAAACCTTCCATGGCTCTTATTGGAGGATCAAATGAAGAATGGTTTAGGAGGTTTTATCACACATGTATTGTTTGTTTTGTTTTTTAAAACAAAATGTAAATATACATACATATGTAGGAGAATTCAAAATATGTATTCTCTTGTATAGGGTGGCACGCCCGGAGGCTGGAGGCCATCTTCGTGTCTCTTACCATAGGGCATAGGGTATGTATTTACAACAGTGACCCGAGGGTCATTGATGTGTATTTATCTACTGTCGTTTTACAAACAATATTATATATATATATATATATATATATATGCGCCGGGTACTAAACATCGGTATATAAACGTCATGCCGAGGATATTCCATAAACGGTCACAATCGTATACGGGGCCTTTGTGCAAAGAAGGACATCGCCACCCCCACACTACACTATTGATCGCTAGCAGTCGAGGTGCTGACATAAGTGTAAATCCCGAACAGGCAGGTAATACTTCCGCGATGATAGGCGTCACATTTTCCGGAACACGGAGTACCGCTGACTACCAAACCAATTTCGTGACTAATTCAAGTGTCACATCTGCCAAACTTAGGAAGGCATCAAATATTAAATCTACAATGTCAAGTGGGGTTTCAAAAACAATCACAGCACCTTTAGGTAAACAGATTAAGGGTGCTTATAGGAAGATAGTGAAGTCTGTGCGTAGGGTTTCGGCCGAAGCACCAACTACAACTGCCGGCTCCAACAGTAACGAGTGCAGGACCCATGACAATGACAATCTAACTGAGCTGCATTTGAGCTATGAGGATATCACAACCGATGCTGCAGCAGATCACCTTTTCGATTCGAATATGTCATCAAGAAGACCTATATGCGTGATAGAAGCACTTGAAACTCTGGTGAATAGCTGCGACAAACTACTGAGGTCCACAAAGCAGCTTGTAAACGTGACAGCTGCTTCAGAAGACAAATCGTCGAATGATGTAGAAACAAGAAGAGTGTATTTGATGCGCTTAGTGTTCGTGGGGACTATATTATTTATAACGTATATTGCAGCAGTCTGTATCGCTGAAATTCAATTGAACTGGTATCTGTCACGCCTCACAGACTAGAGACGTATATGCTATTAACAATCACTAATATAACTGGTCTGCATGTAAGGTATACAATCTTTTATATACGTTTAAACAAGAAAATCAACATAGCGCCCATTTTTATCATAACTTATTTAGTGCGATCATTATAGAGTTCTTATATTAAATTATAGCTTCTAGCCTTTTGTCACCACTTAAGGCTTATCCATAGCTCGTGTGCATACCTGAAGGCTGAAGCGTGTGCACTGAACGCACGACATAAGAAAATTTTCAACAGGAAAGTAGAAACCCTGAATTTGAAGGATCAAATAAAAACCCCAAAAAAATCAATCGACCGACACGAGTTTGTTATGTTTTGTTTTGTTCGTGGAACTGCGAAAAGCTGGGGAATGGGGATGTCCAGAGCCCCAGAGTTCCAGACCTGAGAGTCTGAGACCACAGTCAGTCAGTCACAGTGTGAGTGACCCAGTCGCCAGTGCCCAACTGGCAGGAGTAGCTGACCTGCCCGCTACTGTTACAATACATATGTACTCCACTTATCGTTATTTACTCCGTTCTCTCCGGGTAGACGGCAAAAAAATATTGGCTGTCCAACTCCGGGCTGTCCTTCGTCCTTTTTTTAAAAAACCTGAACACAGTCAACACACAATTTGTCCACAAATGTTCTTTTAAGTTTTTTCAGAACCAACTTCAAAGTTTTTAGTTTCTTTTTTTTAACATAAATATAGTAACTTGTGAAAATTTACTACCCGCCGGGCGGTAATTTCTCGGTCTAAAATTAAAAAATTGTAATACTTACAGTACGGAAATTGGTTTGTTTTTTTACTAAAATAGATACAATTGAATCGCTGACGGGTGAGCTTTGGCTCCAAGTCTCCATCGTGGGAACTTTGGGACATTTCGTTAAGTTGTTTGTCACACGAAATTTGTTCTTTTTTTAGGAGGCTATGCGGAATTGCGTTCAATTTTTAGAAGGCTATGCAAATTAACTTGATGAGTATAAGAAAACAAAAACAAAACAAAAAAACCGCCCCCGAAATGGTCCGAAAGGCCCAACCATCCAGTCACTGAGTGGGCTGGTAAGCAGTAACTGGTATCTGGTAGCTGGTTTCATATTCAGCCAAAAAATAGATACTATTGTCGTTTCTTTTTCAAAATTTGGAAACTTCCTAATAAATACAAGTGCATCAATACACTATATAAATGTCCGCAGATGAAAATATTACAATCGACTTCAAATCCTGGTACATTAGCGAATCGAATCCTACTTTAAAAATCCTGATTATAGATTTCTTTCCTGTGTTTTAGGACCTTCTAAGAAAACGGGATTTCGTTTGCGATTCGAAAAACGCCAATATCATATCAGATTGTATTTATAATTTACAAGAAGGGTATAATCAGATCGAAGAAGAGTATGTTTATTTTCCCCCAGACAGGTTGGCCCTTGTCAAGGCGCTCCCAGCGTCTTTGTACGACTTACTCCTCGTAGATATTTAACCTTCATACTAATGTAGTGGCATCGTGATAACTACAACTTACGTAGACCAAGACATAAGTTTTCTCCCTATTCTTTTCAACATGCCTTTCGGATTTGATATTTCGGGAACTGGCGACATGCGTGTCGATATCAAGAACGCACTCGAGATGGTCGAGCAGTGGAAATTGGGTTTCAAAAAGCAGGCCAACTGGAAGGTATAGTGCAATGGGTGTGGTGTTCTTGTATAACGCACTGCTTCTCACCATTATAAATCATCGAAAGTGTTCGGCTTCCCAGTTGTATTGTCGTCTATTGTGTGTATAGAATGCCTCTTCTCAGAATGTGGAGAGTTGAGTATACCTCGCACTATACAAAACATGCCATATATTTGACTGAATAGACCATTATATTTATACATATATATATATATATATATATATATATATATATAGTATGTATG